TATATAAAAATATTCCAAATTATATATAAATATATTCTCAAACATATATTGATTTCAATTATTTACCATTTCAATGAATTTGCGCTTCTGTTCCAACTTCATAATAACATTAACAACAATTTTGTAGAACTTATAACCGAAACAGGGATCAACAAGGATCAAAGATCAAGGATCACGGCTCACACGCACAAGCATATAAACGTGTCTCGAATTAATTTGCAGACAGTGTGCCAGCCACAAAAGGATCCAGCACAAAATAATTGTGAAATTTATGTGGGCACGCCTGTCCGTCTTTAATCCTAGCTGTTGTCTACAAAAGGAACACCCGCACAATGCCAAAGGATATATAGATATTTTGTGTTCCAAATCGTGGGAGAGTTTGATGTGTGAGAGAGGGAGACGGCGCGAGAGAGTCAACGAGCGAAAGAATTTCTTGTGTATTGCACTTTTGCTTTTTTATTGTAATTATAAATAATTTTATTTGGTTGGTTTGCGTTAAGTTTCTTTGGTTTCAGTTGTCAAGTGTTTCTTGGGCACTTAAAACATTGTATTTAATTTTTATTTCCTTTTAATTTAATTTTATTTTTATTTTTTTGTTTCTTTATCGCGATCTCTTGCAAAATCCGGTTCTTAAATTAGTTTCTTGCACTCGTTTTCAGTCTCCTCTGCTTAGTATGGCTTGAGGTATTGTATGTATGTATATAACAACGTTTTTTTTTTTTCAACCGCTCTGCGCTTCGTAGTGTACCAAACGCGTTGACTTGCGCTGTGCAACTGAGCTGATCGAGGCTCGTTCCAGATCGCCGATCCCCGTTTGCCCGCTGCCCGCTGCCCGAATCGTCCGCTACTTCGTTATCCTGCACGAGCAAACATTGCAACGGTTAATAATAGGGGTTGCAAACAGGATCGACAACTGATCTCTCGCTCGCGCTCTCTTGCACTCGCATTAGATCGTTTGCTCTTGCCTTATCTTGTACTACCTTTTCACCCTAACTCTGTGTCTTTCTATGTCTCTCAACCGCTCTTTCTCTTTCTCACTCACTCACTCTAGTTCTGCTCCTAGTTTCTGTTTCTTGAGACGTTCGTCGTCTCTTCGTCGTGTTGTTGTTTTTGCATTGCATTTTGCGTTTACGTCTGGGTGTTTATCAGCCCAAAATCCCTGTGACGGCTGCTGCTGCCGTTGATCCTTTTTACAATTAAAAATTTTTGTCAACTTCTTCTCAGGTAGACAGCGCAAACGCAGAATCTCTACCTACTACCGTATTATCGCCAGCCTTGTTTTTGGCTCGAGACACGCAAGCTGCACTCTTAGCAAATGTCTTTCAATCTGTCTCCATCATAAATTATCTTTTGAACTTGTGTGAGGCGTTGCTAAAGCCAACAAAAAAAAATCTAGGGCTAGACTAATGGCAGCGAACCACAGCTCAAGGCGAAGATCAGCCAAGGATCCGCACAGAGACTTGAGCCAAAAGAAAAACTAGAACAATGTGGCTGAGATCCGAAATGGAAATGGAAAGGAAGTTGGCTTTAAGAGCAACAGAAATTTTGACTGATTTGGTTTAAGGTTGAGTAAAAATGTTACTGACTTTGCCTTTGTGATCTTCATCAAGTGAAATAATATATTTTTTTTCTTATCAATTTACTTTACTTTTTCTTATCAATTTAAATTGTAAAAGAAAAAAAAGAAGAACCTTTTATAATTTGAAATAATTAAAAGAAATTCTATTCCACTTTTACTTTATAGATTTTCTTCGCTGATCGACATTTTCTTTAAATTTCTAAAATATGTGCAAGTCTTTGCCCTATAGGAATCTTTTTAAAATCAAACTTTCGTAACGATAATTAAAAATAAAAAAGTTCTTTAAATATTCTCATGTTTCATAAAGTTTTAAATAGTTCTTTCTATTTTATACAAAGTCCTTTTACTCATTCTTATCATTGAAGAACAAGTTCTGAAACTCTGTCAAGCTAATACTTCCGCTCTGGCATAACGAAAGTAGCTTAACAAATACCCCTATCATCAGAAACGAAATCTCTACAAATTCCTAAACAAGCCTCATCAAATATCAGAGCTCTACCCCAATCTGACACCTCATAAAAGCTTAACATAAAAATTTTCCTATAATTTTAGATTTTTCACATCATTTGTAAGGAAATAAGTTGAAGGGAAAACAAAATTGTTTACGATATTTATGTGACACATTTAATTGTTTGAGTAGGTTTGCCAAAACGAAGAAGCGGAGCCACAGGGGAAACACTAAAGACAAGACAGAGATCGAGACAGAGACATAGACCGAGAGGAGGGCGAAATAATGAGCTGAGCAGGAAATGGGTCCAGGGCGCATGACAAATTTAATTTCTTACTTCTCTAACATAAAATGCAACAACCCTCATGCCGAATGCCGAATGCCGAATGCCCAATGTCGAATGCCAAATGGACGCATGTCATGCTTTGGCTAGTTCCTAGGGTCTTGACGTAATTAAAATCAAAGCGTGCAATGGCATAAGAAATGTGCACGCTGGACCAAGCCACTGCACTGGAAGTCTGCGTTCCGTCTTACAGACAAAGGAACATCTGTCGTTCTGGTCAAGCGTTTTTAATACTCGCTAGAGAATTGACAAGAACGGGCATATTGGTTTTGTGAAGGAAAGGAAAGCTTGTGAATATGGAAAAGAAAATAATCAGGTATTTTCTCCCAAAACATCTCTTATAATTAATTTACAATTAGCTTGCATTAATTTGTATTATGTTGTCATAAGCTTAAGCAAAACATATCAATATATCATATTTCAGATAAACTTGCCAAAGCATTGGACAGTCTGTTACACCCAGTCCCTCTTTTGCTTCACTTCTTTGACAAATAAAGATCAAATATAATAAATATTTCTCGACTGTGTGTGAACTTTTGAAGGCAAAAAGATTGCATTGATCCTACGACTATGGCTGACTGACTGTCTGACTGTCTGGACTGCCTGTTTGTGATATTTAGTGAACTGTAAAGTGCTCGCGTTGAAGGTCTTGTGGAAAAAGGGGTTGTGCTCAAGTTTAACAAGGGTTAAACTGTATTGGCCTCCCCCCTGCTACCCAAAACCCACAGCAAAAGCTGCCTCAAGATTTACTAACAGCAAATATGCATACATAAATATATA